AGTTCATAACTTCCTTGTAACTGGGTACTACTGCTCCATTTTGTTCCTCTGAAAAGTTGCTGGAAAGGCAGCAAGAGCCTCCCAGATCTTCCTGCTCCCTAAAGCAGTGAGAAGGGCAATCCCTTTCTAACTTGTTAGTCAAAGGTGTGGGATTTGCCAAAAAACCGTTTGCCCTAATAAGGGCACTGCTGATTTCTTTAAGAAAATGTTCCAAAATAGGTTTTGCTGAACTTCCAGTAAAACACTGGCATGTTTCTGAGGAAGAACCAGTAGACTCACAGTGCTGTGCTGGACTTCACAGGGAAGTGCTGGCAAGGAGATGGACTCCACAGGGTGGGCGTGTCAGAGCCTGGGCCTCCCAAAAGCAGAAAACCATGAGGACTTGTGTCCTCACAGCACCTGGAAGGTCCAGTGTTCTTCACACACAGCAGCAAGCCCTGAGAGCCACATCTCATAGTGAAATGTCCCCTCTCCTGCTTCACACTGGAAATTTGAATGGTTCCCGCCACATGTGCTCCAGTCCTGTGCTAGAGCAGAAATTTGAAACGCACCTGGATGAAACACTTTACTGACCTGCTGCCCTTGGCCTTCCACACCCACATCCTTGAGACATCCTTCTCCCAGATGTTGTCCAGCACCAGAAACATGATGTTGCACTCTGGGGCTGCAGCAGGGGGCACAATCAGCAGGTACTGCAGGTCACTGTTCTTGGGTCACCAGATGTCCCCCACCACAGCACCTCTGCCTTCAGAGGTACAACCTTAAAACATTTCTTTCCATGTGAGCAATGATGGATGGACGAGCTAAAGGTACAAAATCCCCCTTTTTCTCACAGAGACCACAGTAACATTCAGCCCCACTTCCACGTCAAGCTCAGGTCTGCATTTTAACATATACATTAAGGAGACTGTATTTAAAAAAAAAAAAAAATCTAATATTATGCTTTTGAATAGAGAATTTACCTAAGTAAATAATTATTTTTAAACCCAAGATTTAAGCAGCTTTAGTAGTCCACATTATGCTAATGTTTGACAATTACTAAGTGTGGGTATCAGCCAGCATTTTTTTTTAAGTTTAATTTAAAGCAATTTGACATGGAAAGGTTATTACTTTAGTTGCCAATAAAAGCTGTACTTTTAACATAAGTGTACACCAAGCCCTAGGGTATGTGACTATTATCTTTTCTGCAATTATGTGGTGTTCTACATAAATGTTTAAAAAAAAAAAAAAACTTAGAAATATCAAAAGTACTAACTTAGCTGCAGTATGAAAGTTGAATAGCAGAGCTGGGAAGCCCGGCTCCCGCAGACACAACACAGGTTGAGGTTTCCTCCTAGAGGTACCGCCGGGAACGGCGCCTCCGCCTGCACAGCATCGCATCCCCCGCTCTGCATCCCCCGCACAGCATCCCCCCTGCACTGCATCCCCCCTGCACTGCATCCCCCCTGCACTGCATCCCCCCTGCACCGCATCCCCCGGCTCTGCATGCCCCCACACCGCATCCCCTGCACCCTGCTGGAGGGAGGAAGGCTTTTCTCACATTCTTCACAGAATCACCACTGCGAGCTCTTCGGCCAACAGAACTGTATCAATATCACTTGAGCAGGCCTTGGTTTGCACCCAAGAGTTGTCTTCAGAATTTTACAAGTGGAAAAAGAAATTATTTGGAAGATGACCTTTGCTTACTTCTGTCTATCATGGAACACAAAGACCCAGTTGTATCAACACTTAAACATGCATTTAACTTAAAGTATATGAGCAGTCCCTTCTGTGGAAGGGACCACAGTGTGTCTCCTGGTCCCACCTCCATGATCAAGCAGGGTTATTCTAGAATATATAACACAGTGTTGAAGCCAGATAGTTCTGGAATATCCCCAATGAGGGAGAATCCACATCCTCTCCAGGTAGTCTGTTCCCATATTCCATCACTGCACAGCAAAGTTCTTCCTTGTGTTCAGGTGGAACTTCCTGGGAATCATTTTGTGCCCATTGTCTTTTGTCCTTTGACTTGGCATCACCACTATCCTCTCAATTCCTTCCTTTTGGATACTTCTAGACATTGACATGAACTTCTTGAACTTTGCTTTTCCCTTTAAAGTGGAAATTGGTGCTTCCACTTGGCCTTAGGGCTGCATCCCAGGAAGAGACCCCATGGCTGTAGCAATGAGGCTCCCCCACAGCACAAGGCAGAGTGTGGGGAGCCCCATGCCCAAGGAGCAGCCACCCCACAGCTCTCAACCCAAATGCCAAGTTTGGTGCTACTAGACAGAAGCAGCACTGCATGGTCACAGCCCTGCCTTTGAGTGGAAATCAGCCATTTTCCTCAGGAAATTCTGTGGGAGAGGGTGGGGAGCCACACTGCCATTGCCAGAGCTCCCAAATGGATGAAGCCCTGGGTTCAAGGCCAGGTTGGATGGAGTTTTGAGCAACCTGGTCTTGGGCAAGGTGTCCCTGTCCATGGCAGGGGGGTTGGAACTAGAAGATCTTTAACATCCCTTCCAACCCAAACCATTTGATGACTCAACAGGCCTGTGGAGGAACGAGATGAAAGTGTTTGCTAAGGAAGAGACAGACCAGCTCATACATACAGAGAGAAAGACACTTCCCTTCTGACACCTGGTCTCCTCCAGGATGTTTCCTTGGCCAAAGTGAGGGTGCCATGAAAAACAAAAGTACTGTGAGGGTATTTGCCAATTAGCTTGGGGACTTGGCACCAAGTGCCACATCCCCTTGGGCTGCTTAGTCCTGTGTCATGGAGGGAGAGACAGCCCCTTCCACCAGCCTCTCTGGGCCAACATGGGGCAGGGCCAGGGCCCACATGGGCACACAGCAATGCCCCCAGACAGGAGCCAAGCCCCACACCAGCCTGTGCAGGTAAGCTCATTCCTCTGCTCTGCCCACTCAGCCCTTCAAAGGCAGAGCCTGGGGGCAAACAGAGCAGGCGAGACAAGCTCTCGTCCAAACACTGGAGGCTGCTTAGTTAAGAGATAATTTTGATTTTTTTTTTAAGTCTAGGTGATTTTTTTTATGTCTGGGTTTTGTTTTTAACTTGAAACTTGTGAAAATCACAGCATGACCTTTGCTGGCTGAAAGTCTTCCCGAAACCAGGGCAGTGAAGTTCAGCTTCCTGAAGTGCCCTGACAGTGCCTTTTGGTGCTGAACTTCAACCGTCTCCAGGCAAGGAATGGAAGTTCAGCCTTAGCAGTCCATTCAGTCTTTTGTCTTTCTGCTGAGAAAGTGAAAACACTGCTCATAGTTCCAGTGCCAACTGTAGTTCATGTTTCAAATTAACTAAAGTTCATTATTTTACACTTTAGGTAGAAGCTGCAACAAACTGTTCACCAGCAGTCCAAGCAATAGTATACAAGCCCCTCTAGGATCCCTTGGAAGAACTCCTGATGAGTTCACCAATGTTTGCACATTAACCTCTGGGTGAAAAGCCAGCAAGAGGGATGTGAGAACTCCATCGAGCCCTCCAGAGCATGACACAAAATGATGCAAGTGTGGGAGCTAGGAGAGAAAAGGTTTTGTGAGCCCAGAAAAATAATAAAACGTTTAAATCCTTAATTGTTTTTCTTGAAGATTTATCCAAAATCAAGCTCTGCTTAAGCCTGTGAGTTTGCAGAGCATTGTCAATAAATTAGATCATACACACAAGGCAAGGATTTCATCCAAAAATCTCTAGCCCTGAGTCGCTTAACAGCAGCACTCCCCAGAAAAACTACTCAAGATGAAACATGAGATATGTATTAATTATCAATGGTCTAATAGAAAATTTAATGAAGACAAGTATCTTCTTGCACTTTATCCACGATAACGATGATAGTACGTCAGCAAGGCGCATACCTTACAACGTAGCAGTGAATGTCAAGTCTGAAGCCATTACAGCAATTCCCCACAATAATGGCCAGCCAATGCATGGGCTTGTAGCACTTAATCAAAGTAATGACATCCATCCACAATTATTTATGTTATGGTAACAAAGAGCTGCCAAATGCAAAACAAATGACATGAGGATTTGCAAGTGAATTTCTTCCTGTAAATTCTCCTTAGGTTATGCTTTAGGGCCCTCAGGATGGAAGTCTGTCTTTATCCAGAGCAATATCAGAACCATGGGGTTATTGTGCCACATTTTACTGCCTGTAAGCAATGAACCCAATGCTATCACTAAAACAAGTTCTTCAGCCAAAAGAACTGTATCAATATCACTTGAGCTGGCCTTGGTTTGCACCCAAGAGTTGTCTTCAGAATTTTACAAGTGGAAAAAGAAATTATTTGGAAGATGACCTTTGCTTACTTCTGTCTATCATGGAAAACAAAGACCCAGTTGTATCAACACTTAAACGCGCATTTAACTTAAAGTATATGAGCAGTCCCTACTTACCTCAATAGGTTTGGATTAGAGCCATTATAATTACCAACCATGAATCTCTATTAAGTGCAGCACTGTTCTTTCAGGGGCATTTATGTGGGTGTTTGTATAAAAACACTGTCAAAAACTAAAGAACACCAGTAAATATTAAATGGCAACATTCAGGTTCAAATGTAATGAACTAATTTATTTTTTTTAACACTACATCCAACTGTTTTTCACCACTCACAGATGTCACTGGAACAACTTGAATACAAAAAAATTGCCTAAGAACAATAAACTACACAGACCAGCTAATATTGATTGCTTTTAAAATGCCCCCTGTTAAACTTAAATAATAGCCAAATCTCACTGCAGTAAATGTACTTTTATATCATTAAATACTAATTTAACAGAAACGTGACTGCGCAGTGAAAAACACGAAAATGCTGGAAAACTGAAAGATTGCCCTTTTTTTTTGCCTTATTCTTCCTGTGCATTATACAAGTCTCCAAATTAACACCTGAAAGAAGAAAACAATAATTTCATATTAGCTGGCTATGTAGTCACACAAGGCAAAGCTGGGGCTAAGCTTAACTTTAATACTCACTTTCCAAGGCCCGTGAGAAGGGAGACTGCAGGACGCCTCTCACCACAGGCTCTGGCCACCCTCAATGACCAGGTTGTGGCCTGTCATGTAGTCAGAGGCTTCGGAGGCCAGGTAGACCACAGCAGCCTGCAGGTCCGTGGGCTGGGCCAGCCTTCCAGCAGGAATGTCAGCCAGCCAGCGCCGCACCAGCGGCCGCAGCTCCTGCGAGCGGATCAGCGGCGTGTCGACGATGCCCCTGCAGCGAGCACACCGACCAAGGGTTTAGCAACGAGTCCTGCCCAGAAGGAAAGGCAGCACCTAGAGGTGTTTTATGTTAATTCAGAATGTTAATTCAGAAGGAAAGCAGGGTAACAGCACAAAGGAGATGACCACATCCAGCCTGCTCTGTCCTCGCTGAAAGTCACGGTGCAAACTTCCATAGTGCTCCTTTCCTATCATCGCCTTCCGCTGCTGATGGGCAGCTCAGGAGTTTCCTTTCAAGTACACATACACTCACACGATCTTCTCAGCTAATAGCACAACCCCTGTACTTTCAGGTTACCCATAATCACCAGTTTAAATTTCTTTTCCAGAAAACAAGTACAGCATTGGAAGTGAAAGTGCCTTGAATTGGGTCTGTCATGGCTCTTGGGAACTGTTGTCCTTCCACCAATTTCTCATCACTCTACAACTAATGTCATACAGCGTGCTTGTGTACAGCCCAGAAACTGAAAACAGGCCAACACCCCATATGTTAAACAACAAGGGGAACAAAAGCCAGCACCCTTCTGGGCACCAGAGCCTTTCCACACAAAAAAAGGAGGGGCAAAGATAAGCACAACACACCCAGTGTGATGCCCCTTAAACCAACAACTGACAAATCACACTGATTTACTTGTCATGCCTCTTTTACATTAATGACTGATTCCACTATTTATTAAAACTCTCCTAAGTTTGGTTTTTTTCCAGGTGCCCTAAAATGCTGCAGGAAGCACAATGCAGGGCAAAGATTTGGCTGGCTTTTATGACTTTAACTGCAACTGATTTGTCATACTCCTCCTTAACAACATATTTGTATTTTGCAAAATGTATAATTTTTTCAGCCCCTGAACAAATATATTTACATAACTGTGTCTAACGAGAAATTACATTTAACTTCTCAGAAATGACAATAACTAAAACCTGAACTGCCAATTCCACTTCATTAGTGTGGTAGAAATGCATTCCAAATGTTAATAAAAATTCCAACATGCTGATAAATTAGCGCTTCTAAGGAGCATGTGACACCTTGGTTAACATATTCAACCTCAATTATATTTCTCTTCAGCACCCTGTTATCTGGAACCTTTGCTGGCAATCAGAGGTGCTGTTTTTCAGCGGCCAATTTTCTAGATAATGTAGCTTATCAACACTGTGGGTAAACTTGCCAATGAAATCAGGCTGCACTGAACCACACACACGCTAATTGCATCTCTTTTTTATGCATATTTACAGACTGTCACTTCAAAGAAATCAGTGGCCCATTGAGGCAGCCAGTTAGCTGGAAGAATTGCCTCTTGCAAATGAAAATTAGCAAACAAGCTAGTGATAAATATGAAATGAACAAAGTATAAAAATACCCGTTTTGTTCTGAAACTTCATCGGCATCCCAATTTAGACTTCCAAGGAAATAATTTTTTGAGACAGACTGGATTCTGGGTATGAGATTTACCTTTTGTTTTAAATGAAGGCTGAAATCCACTATTTACTCTGTTATGAAGTGGAACTAATTCAGATTTTCCCCCAAACATTTCTGTTCGCACTAATCAGGCAGGATTTAAATATCAGCTTTATATTTTATTGTAATTGTCAATAAAGAGCAGAGCAGTTCAGAAACACTGAGCGACGCAGCTCACTTAAGTTCTGGCAATGTAGCAAAATCAAGCACATTCCAGTATAGGACTGTGAATGCTTTACTTATTTCCTTCAAGCGGAGCCCCATAGTCTCCTTTGCTTTTCTAAACTCCTCAAGAACTGGTTTGCTTCAGAGAGAAACGTGCTCTGAGCAGCAGACATGAAATATATTGAACTCCTTTCCCTTACGTGCCTCTCACTGAGCTTACAAAACCATCACCATCGTCATCATCATTCTGGCTTTACACTAGCAGAGACCAGAATAAGATCCATATGATTTTCTTGTTTTTTTCATTTACAGATACATTTTAACCTCAAGGGAATGCAGATTAGGGAATAAAACACACACAGTCCTCCAGCACAACAGATTTTGCTAAAAAGAGGACGTTTTTCAATCTGTTATGAAAAATGATCTTTGGTCTGATCACTGCAGTGTGTGAATCACCATGCTGTGCCTCTTGCTGGACCTTTCTTTAGGTTCACTCCACGTAGCAAAAATTTAGATGTGAAACCAAACTTCACTACAAATTTTTGTTATAGAAATGAGAAAAAATACAGCGCAAAACTTAAAAGTTGCAAACACACATACTGATGGCACTATAAATATTAGGCATGTCATTGATACTACACATCTTCTGGGAAAGCTTGGTGCCAAGTTGGGCAATTTAATGTTGTCGAACCCTTTTAGGCAGATTTTAGTTGGCTCCTAACCAGTTCCAGCAAAGACAACTGCCAATGCATTAATTCCCTACCTCATCTCGTATTCAGTGCTGAGCCTATCAGTACTTTTCTGTTGCATGTCAATGTAATATCAAACTGCTGGTTTCTTAATGTTAGATATGAGCATCAATATTTCATTATTGATACACAGGACAATTTTGGACATGAAGGAAAAAAAAAAGACTGCTAAAAAAAAAGGAGAAAAAAACAATTGCCTGAAACATTTCCACTTCGAGAGACACATTAAGAAAAATATCACTTACCAGATACTTAACTGGAATTGTTACGTGCACTCAATCCCCAAATGAGAGCAAAAAAAGATTCCATCTGTGTGTAACTTGATTTCTTTCAGATGAGTTATTAATTTGAATGAGTTAAGTACACTCCACTTAATCAGGAAGTGTTTAATCACAAGATCCACTTAATTGGGACATCTCCCAAGGAATTAAGATTTAAGTCCAAAGATACTTACCAGCAACGACTGCTGCTTAATGGGGATAGTAATGCTGCTTAATTGGGATGCCTTCAGGTGATGCTGGGGTGCTCCTTCACCTGCCAGCTCTGCCTCTCCTTCCCCCTTATGGGGTGTTCCCCAAACCTGCAGTGATCCTGCTCTGCCTGCTTTCTGGGGTTACAAGCCTGGGGCAGCACTGTGTGGCTGCCTTCAGAGGAGCAGGGCAGGATGCTGGGCACACAAAGGCTCTTTGCCCAGCAGCCCAAACCCAAATCCCTGCAGCCCATCAGGAGGGAACATGGTTCATCCCCCAGGGCTGCAGGCCTGGCTGCGAGTTGACCTTAATATTAACTTCCACCTGCCCTTCCCAAAGATCATCACATAATGGCATTTCATGTCTTGCTAATCAAGAAGGCAGTAATTAGCCAAAAAAATGGACATTGATTCAGTGTAATAGCTGCAAAAATGACGTGTTCAATGCTGCATATGCCAAAAACCAGACACCTTTCAGAATTTCCTCTTCCATCACACCCAACACACTTCCATGTCCTGGAACCAGCAAAGAGACTAAATCCTATGGGCAGCTGGGCATCAGTCAGTGCTCTGTAAAGTTCCCTGATTACACCCTCTGCAGTTCAACCCCCACATCCATTTCAGGAAGACTCCAAGACCACCTTCATTTTTTGGCATCAGCTGTGCAGCAGGCTATGAGGTGATGGCACTGGAGGGTGGTGCAAGCACTGAGCACAGGTTCCACGACAGCAACAGCATAAGTCAGCCAAAGCATCCAGGGAATCTCAGCCACCTTCTCTCCCTAGGCATCAGGTTTGCCTGGCCAGCAAGAGAAGCCTGCATGTTCAATTTTATAAAGGTAATAAATCATCCTAAGGACTCTGTCATAACATTTTATGCATTGCTAACTTTTATGCATTGCTCTGCATAAGTTTTATGCACTCATTAAGAAATTAAGTTGATAAAAAGTGACCAGATAGGAAGAGGGGGAAAAGGCCAAAAGGTTTGCATGGTGAAATAATGTTTAAGGCCAGACTGGAGCATTTGAAGCTTCAGACAGAGGCACACTGGGAGTGCCTTAAAGCTTTAATGCAACCATGACTGGGAGGGGCAAAGTACTTAAGGACACAGATATTTTACTTTTCCAGATCTTGGGTACCATAATACCTTATATCTACATCTGTTCTCCTCAGACTCCTTAAAATCCCATCCTGTTATAAGATGACACTGGGGCTCCTGCTGGTGCTGGGTACTCAGATCAAGCGAGTCAAAGCTGTTCCTGGTCCTTGGTGAGTCACATCAAGAGACAGTGACACTAGTGGGGTCCACAGGTCTGGGGATGGGTCCAAATGTGCACTGAAATGCAGGTTCACATCTCACACAGACAGGACTATAAATGTGAATAGTCATTCACTCAGAAGCAGAAGTGGGTTTTGTTCACGTGATGAGGGATCTGAGCTCCATGAACTGCTGCAGGCTCCTTCCTCGTGCCCAGGGGTCCCTGGGCAATCCCATCATGAGGGGCTCAGCCAGAGCTTGGAGGCTCTGTGAGGGAAGTTCTGCTGGTCTCCAAAGCAGCTCAATCCAGGTTCCCACCTGCATTAGGGAAAACTGTTCTGTCCACAACAGGGCACCTCAAAGACAGCAAAATATTTGTTCTCCATATGTCCTTCCTGGCTATTCCTCCAAAAAGGCAATACATCACCCCCTTTTTGTTGTAGAATTTTGAGCTCAGAGCTAGAGTTTAAGACAGGTAGAGATGATCAAAGTGCAACCCTGTGTTGCCTTAAAAATTAGAAAGAAAAGCTGTCTATTTTTTCTCCGTGCTCTGGCAACTGTCTCCAGAAATATAACTTCTCTAGAAGTGAGTGCTTGCTTCCAAGCTGTACAAAACAATGAGTTTTGATCATTTGGTAACTATTTTTTAAATTTATGTAAGCTCCTAGGAAATGGGTAATTCCTCCTGTAAGAGCCTTCTCATCCATAATTGCTGTGAATGTGGCACAACTATCCCACCTCTGCTGGTGCAGATTACCCGTATGTTTTCAGACACAATTCCTGCCAGGTCCTGCTGAGCTTCCCTAATTCCCTTCATCTCCCCAGCTCCCAAAAGCCAGTGTAAATTCACTAGTGCTAGTTGTAGGAACACCATTACAGTGCTGCTAGCATGGGCATGGGGAAAATCCCATTAGGAAGTAAGATGCTGTTGAAAGAATCTGTGGATCACGTAGAGTGACGGCTGGAGTCTCTGGTATAATTAGTAATAAATAATCATAAGGAAGACAGCTAGCACAAGCAAGGGGAGAGCAGACCAGCGGTAAAAACAGAAGCACTTGCCATTAAGCTCTGTGATTTTTTTCTCCCCCTCCACTTTGTGGATTAAAATATGTAATTTGTTTTCCCTAATTTGATCTACATTATTATCTTCATTATTACAATTTAACTCCTGGGTTAAAATCCTGCCCTTCTTAGTTACTCTGATTGACTTCAATGGTCTACAGAATTTGACCGCTTCCAATTAACGCTATCCACTTGGGTTTCTGCTCAGCACTATCATGCACTGCTAATTGTTTAATAAAATGACTGGTTGGGCATGTGTGTGAGAAACAGGGAGAGACAAAGTGGATCTGGTAGGAAAACTTTTCTTTGTGAATAAATACCCTAAAACATAGAGCTTGAAATCTCCAAAAATAAGGAAAATGCAATTTGTAATAAATAAATACATATATATTTACAAAACTACACCAGGCCTCCTGTGTCTGTTGGAGCTGAACAGTAGCTCAATAACAGCAATAAAATGTAGCTTTTAAATACAAATACGTGCCTACGTATTTGTATCAAGTAAAAAGGGAAAAGAAGTATTGCCTGTTAAGTGTCAAAAACCCTTTCTTTAACCACAGAAGGCTTGGACAGACTAAGGAAATATTTCATCTGGAAGGGAAATGCTAAAAACTACCCTTCACATTATTAGAAAACCTATTACCAAATGCTAAAACCTCTCCTTAAATCCCTGAGTATACACAGCAACAGAGCAGGCTCGGTTCTAAGTATTTAAACCTTTGTTAAGGAAAAGACAACATAAAAAGGGTTGCAATCCACCTGCTAATTAGAAACTTTATTTGCTGAGATAGTGTTCATTTGAGCTTTGTAGAACATTTCATTCCCTTTGTAGTTTCAAAATGAGACTACATTTTACTTACGGGGAAATGCAGTTGACTTTTACTCCTCTGTCAATCCACTCGGTTCCCAATGTCTGTGTTAATTTTACGACCCCGGCTTTGGAGGCGTTGTACGCCAACTGCTTCTGTGGGTGAGGGACTACAAGGGATTCAGAAGAAGAAAATTATTTATTCTTCCCAAATTAAAATAGCTCAGGCACTACACAGACAACTCCCTGCATTGAGATGAGCTATTTGCCCTTTTCCCAGGTACCAGGCAGGAAGCAGCAAGAATTCAGCCACCTACAACACAAACCCCTAAATATGTATTTTGCCATCTAACAATTTTGTCTCAGCAGATGGGCTGCTGGAAAACAATGGTGAAAATAAAAATAAAGACATTTAAAAGATCCTATATTTGGGCAAAGAAAAAGCTGATGTATTAAACATATATATGCAATACTTGTCTGCTCTGAAGAAAGATAAATAATTATACACATGCACATCCATATATTGTACACATATGCATGTTTATATACTTGTGCACTGTAATACTAATAAAATATATTATAATATAATTATAAAATATTATATAATCAATGATATAATGTCTGACATATATATTCTGTGTTATGTAATATATTAATATTATTTATAATAATATGTGGTAGATAATATGTGATAGCTGAATGTAACAGTAAATTGTTTGATATGACATTATATGATAGAATATGATATAAGTGCATAAGAGATTTTATATAACATATTATATATAGCTTCTTGGAACAAATTATTCTCCCTAATTTTTAAATTATCCATAGTCTGAGGCAAACACATCTTATGATCTAATGAATGTTTGTGTGGATGTGAACACAGGTGCATCCCAAAAATTCAGAACACCCACCACTTTCAAAATCTGAAGCTTTTGAAAATGTTTCAGAGATGTCACATGTCAGTCAAAGACAGAAAATGATCAGCTTGCTAATTACAATGTTCAAGCTTGTTAGTGCCGTGTGCTCGGGTGCCTCTGCCCCTCTCCAGCTCAGTGAAAGCTACTTAAGGACAAATCCCCAGTGGGTGTAAAGTGCCTTAAACCCACAGGAGTCAATCCAAGTCAGTCCAGGTGCTGGGATTCACACCCACAAAGTATCTCTCCTGCCATTAGGACTTCATTAAAGAAATCCAGTGTAAAGCACCCATCCATAATTAGCTCTGTATCAGCACAGAGCTTCACTGAGCTGCTGACTCTGATGGAGGGAGAGAGGAGGAAATCAGGGCAAATATCAGTAGTCACAAAGGCAATTCCAGCCTGTGGGGTTGGATAATGCTGAACCCTGGAAGAAAGGGAATCACTGGATTTGCACAGGGTTCAGCAGCCAAACCCCAACTCCCAGCATTTTGATAAAAGCACATAAGCAGCACTAGCACTGGTAGCTGGCATTAAATTGGTCTCAATAAATTAAGCTGATGCATCAGTTCTATGTCACTCCCACCCATGGCATCCCAACACGCCCACTACTGATTTTATTGACTTAAACTCTTGGGTTTGAATATGTCAATGTAAAGGGTGGAAAGAAGGCAATAACTGAGTTACCCAAACTCTGAAAAAGCCAAAAAGCCTTGCTGCAAATCACTGAGTATGTGGACAAGGACCTTTGCCTTGAACAGAGGTGTTTATGAATAGATTTAAAGCACACACATGATGGCAGCAACAATTAGAGGGGTTTTTTTCTGCATATGCTGCAGGTTTGCTCAGAATTCAGAGGCCTTTTCCTTGCTAAAAAGAGTGTTCCCTACCATGCCCCTCCTCTGCCAGCATTTATTCTGTGCTCTTTTTTGTTCAATATGAAATAATTTGCATTTTGACCAGCAGAACTGCCTTGCCCTCAGTGTGTGCCTGCTGCCCCCTGACGCAGCGCGCCGTGGGGGCTCTCAAAGAGATGTGGAACGTAATTTCTTGATTAATTGCCATGCATCAGCTCCAAGTTACATACAACTTCGGTAGTTAACCTTGTAACCTCCCAAAAGCAGTTCTTTGCTAAACTTTCCAAACATGTCTGTCTGTGATAAATCATTTTGGTGGTCACTTGCTAAGAGGAGAGGAGTTCTGGCACTGGCTCTGCACCTACAGTGCATGTGGGTGAGAACAAGTTGCTGCAAGCCACGAGAATCAGCTTCTGACTTGGGTGATGAGACACAGCTATCAAAAGTCTTTCCATGGACTTTTGTCTTTATAAGAATATCTGAAGAAGGTAATTAGGAGCATGAAATTTTCCCCTGCAGAGACACTCAGCCCCTCTCAACTGGAAGAACTCAAGGAGAAGCCAACAGGTGCTGTGAATCTCTGGCGTTGGATGGGATTTCTGCAGCTAAGCATCCCCTGCCACCTCCTCTTCCCTCACCTAAGGTGGTCTTTTACAGAGAGAAGAGCAAATCTGTAATCCTCCAAACTCCTACCAAATGGGGCTTGAGAATAAAGCCATGCCTCCAGCAGTGTCACCAAAAAATCTGCATTGCTAATGCTTCTGAGAAGGACACTCACTCCTATTCAAAACAGATGATAGGAGAAAGCAGATAAAAATTCTGCCAACATTAGCTGTATTATGTTTTAAACACCTTTGTTCTGACTTTGGCTGGGGTTTTTTTCCCAGTAGATTCTCTCTCCCATCCTTGGGGGAGAGAGGGAAGGGCTGTGGGGTTATACCACAACAACCTGACACTGCTGCTGCCCCCTTGTTTGGTGCATCAGGCTCCCAGCCTGACCTTGAAGCAGCCACACAATATTAATGAGAGGTGCCCGCAGAGCAGAGCAGACCACTTCCCACTGAAGATATTCACTGTAAAAATTACAGCTCTGAGTTACACCTGTGATAACGGCACTGCTGCTGGAGCGAACGCCTGGAATAATTCCATTGGAACACCAGAATCAAAACGCACATATGCAAAATGTATGCAGCTTATCTTCGATTAATTAAAGCTGATTCTGAGCAGTGTATCTGGAAAAATCACAAACAAAAACCTCCCTATCCTGCTAAGTGTCTCCTCATTTTCCTGTATTTCTGAGGAAGGACTCAACCTACAACAACAACAAAAAAAATATCCCCTAACTATTTCTAGAAACATTTCATACTATGCCAGTTGGCCAACGTACTTAAATAACCAACCAACCAACATATTTATTTAACATTCAGCAGATGGACATGATATGAACATCGTGGTTTTCAGTCGTAGTTTCATAACTACTAGATTTTCTCAATGCCAAGATTCAAACAGGTTCAGAAGGTAAACACATCTCTCCATCTCTTAACTTCTGGCCTAGCATGCATTAACTTTCACTGACATTTAAATGCATCTTGGGATGACCCTTCCAGGTTGCTCTCAGGGCTGCTTTCCAATGTTCCTTTCTGTTCCAGGACAGGTACTGCCTTCAGATGTGATCCCCTGGGCTTGGCTCACCAGCCCAGGAGGTGCAGCTCCAAGCTGGGGCTGGGATGGATGCTGGGTTGGAATGGCATCACCACCCAGCTCAGCAGAGCTGCGCCAAGCCCCGACTGAAAAGTTGGAAAAAGCCTCTGCTTAAGCAGAGCAGACCACTGCTGGGCTGCAGCAAGGCTGGGAGCTGTGTGCCAAACCAGCAGATCCCCAGTTTGTGCCAATTCCCAGAGCTTCCTACCTTTCTCCAGGATGGACTACATCCTAGGAAATTTTGCTTTGTGACAATGATGTGGATGGTGACAGCCCAAGCACAGACCAGAGCCCGACTGCTCAGAGCAGAGCAGGAAAGCCTGAGGTATTTGAAATTTAAAGCAACACAATCTTTTCAGAACTACTTTTCTTGGGGAGTTTTTGTAACTTTACAAAGTTGGGATGAAGGGGTGGTGCCTGTGTTTAAGCATAAGTAAAACAGCTGGTAAAGACACTTGAAAAAATATTAACAACAACATTATAAATGGATTTTTGAAGAACCATTTAAAGTTACTGTGCAATAAACTGAGTAGAATGACATTGAATGTCAAACTGGGCACAGTAAAAATAAACATTATTCCAAAGGAAAATAAAAAGACTGCATATTTATGTAACATTCAGCAGATGGACATGATATTAATACAGGGGTTTTCAGTTGTACTTTTATAGCTACTAGATTTTCTTGCCTAACTTGGCAACCCAAGGCACCATTTGATTTTTGGATTTGGACAATACTGCAACAGATGTCCAGACCAATAAAATAAATTCCTAAAGGGCTATGCTTAATTTGTGTAATTGATCAATTTTTGTTACATGGGCTTCAGCTCAGCAGCCTTCCAGATTAGCTCAGCAGTAGGGATTTCATTCCATATGTTACAATGGTTTATTGGTCCTTTTGATGACACTGCTGATTCAGCAGCATTGGTGCAGGCACCTGTTGGCAATGAGAATGTTATAAAATCCATGGGTACCAGGGCAAATATTGGCACAAAATCCTTTGGGTGGCTTGTAAGCATCTTGTGGGCTCAGCTTCCCACATGCCAAGGAGTTTGCCTGGAACAGCCTGGAGGGAACAGCACCTCTCCTGTGGTATCTGCTCCAGAGTCAGAGAAGGTGACTCCACCTTTTCTATAAAAAGTAATAAGTGCTCTAAAACACTGAGGACAGATAAATGTTGAAAAATGATATCAATAAAAATTTTGTAGTACATTTCCTCTAATATGAAATGTCAGTGATTTACTCCTTCCCAATACAGGTTTAATTGATTCAAATAGCATCGGTAGTAATTAAAATATGGATTCTGAAGCACAACTGTTAGCTCTCATCACTCACCTATTAAACTTGCCATAGATGCTGTGTTAATTATCTTCCCATATCCTTGATTCAGCATAATGCGGCCTGCAGCCTGTGACAGAAATTAAAGGAAAGACCAGTGACCCTTTCTGTGATTGTGCTAATAATGACATGATAATAAATTAGTCTTTTCAGAAGAGTTGATGTGCTAACACATTTTTTTTAAGTACCTGATATAAAAACTTGGTATAAAAATGGCTGATGCAGGGAAAAATCCCATTGCCATTTCACACCTCTCCACTGTTGGCAATATTTTTTCAAAAAAATCACAAATGTTGGGAATTCCCCCCTCCAAGCTTTCTGGTTTTTCAAATAACCACCCTTCAAAAAAATTTTGGCTATTCTTTAATGCCTGGGCTCGGGTAGCCAATAAGTACCGGCTGCTTTTGAATGTATTGACCAAAATCTGTAATTAATATAAAGCAAATCTCTCCTAAACTCCACCAAAAACTAGGACCAATTCTATTGTGATAATTATTAATAAAGTGCTATTATACCTTGAGATAAACACTTAGAATATTAATACCCATTTGCAAAACTAACCAGTGCAGTATTTCACACTTACTTGGCAGCACAAAAATAATCCTCGTAAATTAACATTAAAAGTTTTGTCCCATTCCTCCAGGGAAGTCTCTTCACTTGCAGAGTTCAGATTGATTCCTGCATTGTTGCATGCAATGTGGACAGTGCCCCAGCGAGCCACAATTGCATCCACCATCCTTTGCACATCCTCAGGCTTGCTTACATCTGCTGCCAGGGCAAGGCTTTTAATGCCTGCATAGAAATAAGAGTGATGGAGTCAGCACAGGAATTCATGGGGGGAAAAAAAATTCTATTTTATGATTGTTTTTTAATTCATATATAGAGATATTTTATATATAGCTGTATTTTATACATACATGTGTGTATGCATATATTCCACCTCAATTCATTGCTCCACCAATAATAGCAAAAGGTGTGTTTGTTACTGCAATACCATTATAAAGTTGCTGACTGCTGCGAGGTTCGCTGGCTGGAGAGCAGCCTGGAGCCCAGGTGTGGGAGCCACAGCTGCCACTCGGGCAGGACGAAGCGTGGAACACTGCACCATCTTCTGTCCAAACCCTCAACTGCAGCTTCCCCAGCTCCCAGCCGCTCTACAGAGCCTTTTCTTCTGCCAGGTCCCCCCCAAAGATGCTACAGAAATCAAATTAATTTGTCCCAAGCTGCTCTCTGGGTGAACTACAGCATGCAGAGAGATGGGAGACTCAGACAAAACCAAACCAGTTTTAATGGGAGCTAAGTGGGAATACCTGCAGGTGCACAGGTATGGCAGTCATAGTGACTTATTTACTGCAAATCACACTGCCAGAATAATGTAGCCATCTGGAAATGATTTGCCAAATTTAAAATATTAAGAAGTTTTGCATTTTTTCCTAAAATAATCCAGCCTATTGACTTTTGCACCAGGGCTGATCTGTAAATAACTTCATTGAATTCATTATAAAAATCAACTTTAAATAACCTTATTGTTAAACAGCATAAGAAGTCTGCTGAGGCCAGGGGGATTATACCAGACCTGATGCCACTGGGATTATACCCATCCTCAAAACCAAACAAAGCTACACCAATAAGGGCTGTGGTGAAATGGGTCTTAATTAAGGAAGGAAGGAGGCACCCACTGGGGTTGGACCATGATCAGCAGTCTGGGTAAGAAGTTGCAGCTATTAAAGCAAGATCTTTTTCTTCTATATAAATGACAAATTTGTTCCACACTGGTACCTCTTTTAGATCATTCTGATGAAACATTTAAAAGAAGGGATAAGCCTTTTCCAGGAAGACTCTCCCAAAATGAAGCTGAGATAGAGGCTTCCAGGAAAGCAAGGCAAAGCAGGAATTGCCCAGTGGTGTGTGTGAAAAAGTGGCAGGAAAGAGGCTTTTGCATGGAAAAGCTCCTCCTCTCCAGTGCCTCCAGGAGCCTGTCAGAGTGCACAGCCCAAAGTGATGCCACTCTGGGGTGCCAGGGCACAGGAGCTCCTGTCCCTTTCACTGATGACACCATTCTCTTGATTTCCATGGCAGAGAAAAAACACAGACAACTAAAAAATGGATGCAATGCTCTGCCACAAAACAAGACTTCTTATTTTATGGCAGGTTTTATGCTAAACATGCTGAAAGAATAAGAATAGCCAGACAGCCCCTGTTGCTACTCCTAATTGTTATCAAGACATGTAATGCACAGGGAGTTCCTGCAATCTTCCTTTTTAAATTTACAGATAAAATGGGTGCAAGTGTGTTACTAATGGTAACAGAAAGACTCTTCACCTGCCCTCCAACTCTCACCCCATTTAGAGCTTCATCTTACAGGTCAGTTTATAAAAATGAGACAAAAGGTGCCACATGTGAGTGTCTAGTGAAGAAGCAGTAAAACCACACTCACTTCAAACCAGAGTCCCATACTCCACCTTAATCAATTCATCTGATATTCCTGCACTCTGAGAGGGGGGAGGAAATCACTTTCTGTCTCTCCACTGTCCCCTCAAACCACCTGTTAAAAATAACAAATAAAACAAACTATGGGGAAAATAGCCTCAAATCTATAGACACAATCAGAGGCAAGACACCCAGCATAGGATGATGCACAGGATGATGCCTCTCCACAGTGCTCAGCTCACTTTTGTGGGGCTCACGGAGGCAGGTTTGTGATGAGGGGGGCAGGAGAGGAGCCCAGGGGCTCTGTGCTGCAGACAATCACTGTGCTGGATATGCCTGAGGTGTCCTTCTGCAGGGACACACACACGTCCCCTGCCACAGGCTTCATCTCTGGTCTCTCGCTATAAATGGAAGTAACATGTTGCATATAGACAAGAAGATCAGGAGTGACATTGCACAAGGCATTTGCATAGTTTACAGTGAAAATGCACATTTTAAAAATCCCATCAGACTAATTCTTCCCTTAGGGTACAGGCAGTGATTCCCCCTGAAGACAGAGGTGTGTGTAGTGGAAGGTAACCCTTAGGATTTTTTGGTTATGTTTCATCATTTTTGGTTCTTCAGTCAGGATCCATTAGTAACTGTTGAAAAAGGTATTCACACAGGATCTAAAAACAAAGAGCCCTGCAGCCAAGGGACGTACACCCGAGCTGTCTAACAAAGCTAAAACTGAGATCACAGGCGTTCTGATGTTTAAAACTCATCATGAAATGATGGCACCATCCCAAAAGGCAGGAAAGGGCTCCTTGATATAAGAAGCAGAGCAGCTCTAAGCAAGCTAAGCAAAATGTTTTGAAAAAGTATCAGTATGGGAATGACTTGGGGCACTGAGCTTCCAACTTTGAGTTAGAGATCTACAGCCATAGAGGGGGAAAAAAAATCACAGCCCCTTTGTCCTTATTACAGCAGGAAAAATACGTATTAATGTTATGATTGCTTCAATTTACTCATGTGAATATTTTGAGAGTAAAGCTAGCTGAACCTTTTTGTCAAAATTTATTTCCAACAGAGCATGATACTTCTTTGAAGCCAAAATGTTTCATGGAAACATTGATTTCAACAAAAAGTTTTCAAGGGAAAGCTTCTGAGGTCCAGGCTAGAATCTCTAGTTACCTCTGGAGAGAAAGAGATTGAAAACCTGACCTTTTCAGATCCTTTCCAAAAACGGGCATTTGGATATAATTCCCTTTCACAAAAGCTTTACAAAGTTTGGGGGTTGTTCCAACAGGGAACGACAATAAATTCAAAACCTCAAAACCCATCATGAGATGGAAGAGATGTGCCCTGACCAGCTGCACTGGTCAAATTGATAGATAATATTTGACCTCAAAGGATAAAGATGTGTAAAGAGTGAGAAGTGAGATTTTCTTTACTTTAGACTGCAATAGTATTTGCTATGCCTCATGACCTCTATGACTGCATTTTGGAACAACCCCCCACCTCCTCCAGACTGGCAGCCCACTGCTGAAGGAGCAGAGATGTAGGGCAGCCATTGAAGGGTAGATGATCAAACTCCTACTGAAAATGCCCTGGAGATGAGTTAAGTTCATTTTCCAATAGGCTGTTGGCATCCAAAGTCTCATGGCTCTATCAAGTAGCCCATTTCTATCTGAATAGCTCTGCTTGATATGCAGGATCTCACAGGGAAAAAATGTCCAAAAGGAGAGTTAAGGTGTAGGGCAGAGCCACTTCGTGCCAAAACCATATGGCTCTGGTGCATAAGAGAGTGAAAAGCTTTAGGGAAGGAGGGACTGGATGACTAAAGAATTTGTAATGAGAGCTGGACACTTTCTTCTAGGTCATTATTTGGGATCAGAGCTTTAACCCATTGCACTGACACGCCATGTGAAGTGTCTCCTGCTTAGCAGAGCTTGGGTTGTGCAGACAGGGATGTTTTGTCTTAAATGTTCTCTGGGGAGCCTCAGGATGGTATCCAAACCAGAATGACACCAATCTTTGTCTCTTCCTGAGACTGGGTGATATAAATACATCTGCAGGGGCTGGTTTTGCTGGAGAATATGGTTTCTAATGACCCAATCCTTTGCAGAAGTCAGAGTGGAAACAAATACTGGCGACTTTATCCATGTGGGAATGTGAAAATATCCTGCATAATTGTCCATCTTTAGAGACAATGAAGTACTGAACTTTGAAGAAGGCTCAGGTGCAATCTCACAGAAGAATTATAAAATGAGTAATACTTCCTTTCTTTTATCATTAAAATTATATTTCCAGTTTTCTTTTTCCCCTTTACAATTGCAGTTTAGCACAGCTCTAGGGGGAAATTTGATTTTATGTTACATTTTCTGTTTTTACTGCTAAAACAGAAGTGGCTTGTGGGGGGTTTTACCTCTTATTTGGATTTTACTTATTATGTCTATTAGTATTTTGTTCCCATATCTGACCTTGCACACATGTTTGAAGGAGGACTTGAAAAATTACTTGCCTTCAATTTAAAGAGCACAGTGAGAGATTCAGACTGACAATACAACTACCCTGTTTGGGGGTTTTGGCTCGTGGTAAGGAAGAGGGTCTGGAAGAGAGGGTAGGTGAATTTGTGGCTGTATCTTTCATTCATCCAAACTGAAGCCTGCCTGATTTACTTTGAGCAGCACCATGTCTGTTCAGTGCTGGTCATACAGATCTCACTTGTACAAGGTGACTCTTCTCTGTTCTTGTCAGCCATGGCTCACCACTTTGGACATTTTTAGTGAGGAATTTTGTTTGGATCACTTTGCCTCTCTAGAAGAGTTTATATTGATAAATAACTTTCGGAGATGATGTGATATCAGTGACTGCTGGCACAACACTGACAGGGCAGGACAAGCTTTGTGCCCGTGGCTTGAAAATCCTCTACTTTAACCACTTCCCCCCCAGGGCTGGATGGGAGGGGATTGCTCTACAGAGCAGTGTCAGGTTTGAAGGAGGAAAGCCACCCATTCCAGCGCCCACCACGCTCAGTGCTTACCTTTGAGGCTGAGCTCACATGCCACCGCTTCTGCCTTGGCAAGGACCAGATCCACCACAGCCACTTTAGCTCCAGCTTCCCCCAGGGCATGGGCAAAGGCCCTGCCAATTCCCTGCCCTCCTCCTGTGACATAGGCGATCCTGCCGTCCAAGCGCAGACGCTCCAGGATGCGGCGCCGGTTGCAGCCCCAGAAAACCTCATCCTTCACCACTTGTGTCTGCAACAAGAACACAAACACCCTGCACAGTGAGGGGCAGAGCTCACTGACAGCTGTTAAGGACTCTGCTGGTGAGAACGAGGTGGGAGCATGAGCAGGGATCCATGTTTTCTTGGCCCATTGATTAATACAAAAAGCATCACTAATTCAAGCCAAAAAGCCCCCTTATCCATACAGATATTAAGCTCAAACAGAGCACTAAGGTGCCAGACAATGGAGCAGAAGGGCTGTGCTTTAGGGAGATGCTACAACCATTCAATTTTCAGGAGAGCAGCGTATGGCATTTCCTAGCCTGGCTTGGGTACAAAGTCTTAGAAGTTGACTGATTAAGCCTTCCAGTTATTTCATCCCCAGGGCCCAATCTTGCCCTGAGGCTCAGCTAAGAGGCTAAAAAGAAGGTTCCAAAGGCAGGATTTGGGTCAAGTAGAGTGCAATCAAAATATCTTCACAAGGCTGGTGCACAAATAAAGATATCAGCCAATAACTTAAACCAAGCTGTCATCTGATCAGCTGCCATACATCATTTCCCCCCAACTGGAATCAAAATGCAAAATACAAGATGTTTAAAATATTGAGTTTGAAATGCCAGGAATTACCAGTGGGCGTAGCTTTGGGAGTGCTCAGAAACTGCAAAACAACCAGGATGTTTGGGTCTGGGTTTACTGAGGTAGGCCATTATGATTCCAGATGGGAATTTCATTACAGCTGGATGAGGCCCACTACATAAAAAAGAGACATAAAAGCACCATTTTTTCCTTAGGACAAACAAAATGTAAGGCCATGAAAACATCTAGCTCAGAGAGCACATGAGGGCATCCTGTGCTGCCTTTGAGCAAAAAAAATGAACTATTTCGGAAATGTTTTTGTTCATTACTGGTCCTCAGCTCCAAGCTCCATCTTCCCACATTCCTCTGCATGGGAAGGATGGGAGAGCACCAGGCACTGAAACCTGGTGGGCAGTACACCAGTCCTTCCAAAGACTCATCACAGGACCAGCTGATCTGAAAGGCTTTGCAAGGAATCAGCATTTATCAGCTTTAGTGCAACCCTGGACTGGAGATGCTAAAAGGTGCCCAGCTCTAAGCTGCTAAACCCATGATCACAGTACCCCATGTTTGGGTTCTTGCCATCAAATTCCTGAAAATTGTTTTGTCCCTGTCCTTGGCAGAGTCAAAATTTTCCCAGAAACTCTCACAGAGAGGAAATACCCACCTTGGACTCAGTCACTGCAGCTGGAGGCACAGAGCTCCTTCGGATGAGGCTCAGTCCACTCTGCACAGGCAAAATCACCTGCAAATAGAACACAATTCTCATCTGCTTGGTACCTGGCTTTGTCACCCAAATTCCACTGATATGAAGGATAATCCTCAGGCCACAGTAGTTTTTCTCCTACTCCTATTCTTTAGCTGAAGCTCCCTCCAACACAAACATATCAGGCATTTGTATTTACTCCCATTCCTCTTCCAAACTCATTGCTTACACAAATGCTAGGGAAAAAAATGCAATCTTGTCTCTCCAGTTTCTAAAATCACAACATATTTGTGCATCCTATTACTTCTTCTTTTTATTCTCTTTGCTGACTCCTGTTGTGCTGGTGATGCCCTATAGCCCCCAGAGCCTTTAAAGCAGAGTGGTGATTCTTTAGTTGTGCTGTAGAGCTGATTATTTACTCTTAAGTGCTCTCCTTTTATCTTGCCTTTAACACACTATAAGATGTAGACAGAGCAGGGACCACTCCTGAATATAGAAACTCATACCTAGAGCTCAAGTGAGGTGAATTATAATAAAATCTGAGTTCATTTTAGGTCCTTTGGATAATGGCACCAACAAAAGAAGCATTTTAAAGAGTACTTTGCAAAATCCATAGATACAGCACTGCAGGCACCTTAACCAATGGCATTGCACTAACCTGCTCAACACGAGGATCTGAATTAATCACTGCATTTAATTTTCTGACAGCTAGTACATTTTCATCTGTTACATTCTCCAGGTAGACTTGTCCTTTCATGAGTGTATTCTCTACACAGATCACTGCATCCATGCTCAGCAAGAGGCTATCCATGACAAAGCTGTAGTACTGAACAGCATTCCTTTGATCAGCATCAATAAAGACTATATCAAAGTGCTCGTCCTCAGCATGTAATGCCTGGGAAAAAAAAAAGATATTAGAGAAAACACTAATTATTTACCTGAAAGTTTAACATGTTGCCATTAATTTGTTGTTTATATAAACCCCAAACCAGACAGAAACTTGTTCTTTTAAGGTAACACCGCTAGAAATGCTTCTGGAGATCTTGGGAGTTTTCCATGCTTTACAAACAATTCTTCAGCAATGAATCTCTGAACTTCTCAAGGAAAATCAGAATATAAAAGAGGATGGCTCGTCCCAGCTTATGGTGTTGAGAGTCACAGCAGAAACACCTGCATACCTTGAGTCAAAGTAAATTGATCCATCAGGGTAAGACTGACATCAAACCCTGACACTGAGGTGCTGCAAGAAGTTCTCTCTTCTCAAAAGAGCAACTATCAACAAATTGAAGAGTGGCAATTATATCGGTCTGGGGAAAAAAAGAGGCATAAAGCAGATCTGGGAATTGCAAAGTAGTGTGTCCCACTTCAGTAGCAGGAAAAAGGTTGAAATCCTAATTAATATAGAATTATAAAGCACATGAAAGAACAGGTCATGATAGAGATAAAGCAGCACAGCCCCTGTGAAGGAAAATGATGTTTCTTTAATCTAAAAAAATGCTTTGGATGGCTCAGCAACAGAGAGGATAAAAGAGAACTGGCTGCTATCATCTAATTGGATTTTCAGAAATGTGGCACACCTTCCCTCCAAGCAGGCTGCTGATGATAATGTATAAGAGTGTTGATGGATGACCAGATGGGAGCCTTTACAGCCTTCTCCTGTGGCAGTTAATGCACTCGCTGCCCAAGAGGCTGCTATGGAATATTTCAGATTCCATCTGGGACTATTTAACTGCATCTGTGTGTGTTGCAATGAAACAACAGCTCATCCACCTATCTCGGCGAGCAGAAATGCTTTCAAGTCTTTGCATTTCAAGGGAAAAGAGAAACAGTTCTCTTTTCCAGAACTCACTGTCTCTACCATGACTTTTAACGGTGTTTCTTGCATCCAGATTTCCCTTTTGTGTTTAGAGACGTTGTGATGAGCCATCCCTTGGGATGCACCAGCAAAAGCATCAACAAAGGCAACAGAATGTGAAAAACTGGTTTGGTTTTGGGAGTAAGTAAGGTTAATGGCTCCCAAAGAGAGATTTCAGGAGCCTTTCTGAGGCAGGAGGGTGTGGATCAGACAAGGAAATCGAGGAAAGCAGATCACTGAAGCTCTGAACTCTTCTGCTGTGCAAACTGGTGTCATTGTGAGCTGGTTAGTGGTGGGGGAATTAAGCTTGGATAGTCCCATTTAACTGTGGATGCTTGTTAGCAGAGAAACTCTGCTGAAAGCATTCACGAGCCCACATTTAGGACACATTACACCATAATGAAAGAAGACCTCAAGGCCAAATATATGCTGGTTTGTTAAAAATGTAGTAGAAACTGGGACATCTGGATTCCTGGGATTCATCTTTTCATTTCGTGACCAACAAGAAAATCTTGCCCTGGCTCCCTCTTGAGCCACATTGGTGGAAAGCAGCAGGAACATTTTTGGTACTGTGGAAGAGTATCTTATGTCAGGCTGCACCTCAGTCAGTCTGTCCAATGTAGGTACTTCAGGAAGGGGCAGAGGATGAAAGCTGGGTGCAGGAGCCCATCACAAAGAGAAGGTAGAGGTCTCATTCCTCAGGGAAAAGAGCCAAAGCCAAATTCAAGTAATTATCATGACTTATCACCACTTTCTGACTTGTAACCTTCCTGGGTGGAGGAGGTGGGGGGCAGACATTCAGAAACAGATGTGGCCATCACTGAACATATGTTACTCCTGCTCTGTGGGATGGCTCCCTAATGAAAAAGAATCTCACTTTTATGCATTGACTTCATTAGGTCCATATGGAGTTGTGCAGCTCTCTGGATATTAGCTGGACTTCTCATTTCAGCCCTCTTTCTGTACTGCCTACCTGCTGACAGCTTATCTGTCTCTTATCTGTCTTCTGATAGAGATAAACCACCTTTCAACATCACAGTGTCCATCCCAGGAGGGTGCTTGGGTTGGATGTGTAACCACTGCACACCAGGCTTGTCCTTGGGTGTGCCAGGCCATGGTTTCTAAGGCATTCCTCTTCTGCCACTTCACTGAGTCCTGAATGGCCATCCAGAAAGGTCACTTGGGCATTCAGATACCTGACACATGGAAGGAATAACGTGAGTTTGTCCTGGGACCTGCCAACGGCTTCTTGTTTCCACAGCTTCATAATTGCTGCTGGGTTTTCCGTATTTAGTTAGAAACAGCTCCAGGGCTACAAGAGGAATCCATGAAATTCCTTAAACCAGCCTTACCATTAGAGCAGCCTCTAAACAGCAGGATAACAGCCACAGGGAGAGGAAAGTCCCTGTTTCCTGGAGCCCCTTGGCTAGCAATACACAGGTCACCCAGGCAGGTGGCCACCATGGCCAGGGCACCACACTGGAGACGGTTTCCTCACTGCCAGCACCCATTGCTGAACAAAAACAGCCAGAAAATTAAAAATCTGCTCTAACTGCAGAGCCAAGCACTGGAAACATTGGTACAGTGGTGGAGAGGATAACTCCATGCTGTCCAGTATGGATGAGGGAGTATAAAATAAGGGATTGACACCCTGGCCCTCCCAGCACAGACTGGGCCGGGCCCTGCCTGGGATCTCACAGCACTCTGGAGATGCCATTGTCCTTTGCCTGGAGAGGCAGAGCCCAAATGCCTCCAACTGTGAGGAAAGCTGAGATCCAGAAGGAAATAATCTGCCTGCAAAATATCCTGCTGAAACTAATTTCCTGAGTGTTTACAGTGCAATCCCTGCTCCTTGCTACAGAGTCATCATAGATGGTAACAGATGGCAATAAGAGTTTTAATTCAGAGCAAACTTGGCTAAAATTAATGCTTTTGCTTACAGTGAGTCATTAGCTTCCTTTCAGATTAAAAAAAAAAAAAAAAAAGGTGTAACACTGCATTCCATTGAGGAGATGTACCAAAAGTGACCATGAGAAAGGGCACAGCAGCACTGCTGATGGATACAGCAAAAGATCAGGGAGAGGACATCCCGAATAAAAACATGAATGAATCTTCTGCCAAAGCTCAGAGCAAACCTGATTGGAGTCCTGATCAGAGACAACTCTCTCATAAGGCACATATAAACTCAATCAGAAAAAAAATGACTGCCCAGTTCCTATGATATGGATCATACAGTCAGCATATTTGTAATAAAGATGTACTCAAAACTTATTACCTTTCCTGTGCCTTGTTCTTGACCTAAATGTAATAGCAATCCATCCTTGGGGTGCACAGAATACATGAAAAAGTACAGTTTCCTTTTAAAACACCATTAGAATATTTTACTGTGTGTGGACATACACTCTTGTTACTCCTAAATGCTATTCTATTGAGTACAGTTTATATTCACCAGCAAAGCGAAATCTCTAGGGAAGCCAGAGAGGGAATGCAATTTCTAGTAATAACAGCTCACAACAGTGAATACTATCCACTTATCCCCACAATTTCCAGCTATTTTGGACTCCTTTCTGAATTAACCTTTCATATCAAAAGGAGCAATTCTAGAGCACACTAGAGACTCCGACACAATTTCATGCATAATTTATTCACTCAGTTCAACATTAAATGCAGAGTCCTTGACTTTGTCAAGGTGGATTCTGTTGGCAGACTTCACAAGCAGCAAAACAGGAGAAATGAGATCTGCAGCTCAACCTCTTCACCTATTCTGTCTGCTAACAGGAGGGAAAAAAGAAGAAAGCAAACCCCGACATGCTTCCACAATGCCCTGCAATCAGCAGAATTGGCTGCAAACACCGTGTTATTTTTGTGTTGCATTTTCAATTTTAAAATGGAAATATCAAAATAATGGATGGGAATAATTTCCTGATAGTTTGCATTCCCTCCAGACTCAATCCTGCATCCATTGTTCATCAAAAGTCCACTGGGATTTGAAGGAAGCTCTTTGTGCAGGATCAGGCTCTTGCTGGCAGCAGATGCATGGCAGGGCACATTACCCAGGCATGGCTCAGCAGAGTTCAGACTTAAGGGAAGATTTGTTGGGAAATGTTTTTAAACACTGGCCCAGGACATGTTGAATAGGTAGCTAATTCCCACCAAAGACACATGCACCTGAGACTGAACCTGAAGAAAGGCTTCCCCTCAGTCCACATTTCAAAATATTACGTAGAATTCCTGAGGCCCTTGGGCACAGAGGGTTGTGTTGTGGTTTGAGTGAGCTCTGTGCTCTGCTGGGGACCTCACCCAGCTTGGCAGTGTCTGTCCCTCATGCATGGGGAAGGTGGAATTTATCACCATGCCCTCAGGTACCAAGTGAACCCTACCATGCATTTGAGCTCTCTGGCTCCTGTCTGATACTTAGCATTTACAGGCGAAAATCCCTTATGTTTTGTGCTGGCTGTGATCTGGGACAAGAGGGAGGGAAACAGGCCAACTCCACCAGTGCTGTGTGATAACACAAGGGAGCACCAAGAGGCTTCAGAGAGCCTGGCCAAGGTGCTGCCATGGACTGCTGTGCTGCCTTTGCTCTGCTCTCTGCTTGCTCCCAGCCCTGCTGAGCCATGGATTTAGGTGAAAGAGCCAAAGCCACAGGGGTGACATAATGGCCCCACCGTCAAAGATGCACTGGCACAGATTTGCTGCATCCTTATGGCAACTGCTGCAAGATCTGGCAGCTTCCTTGTAAAGGGCAGAAGCAGTTGTGGGGGCAGCCCTGGACACATCCTGCAGCACCTGGATGATACCTGAGGCTGGGATGCAGCTCCTGGGTAGCCTACCTTTACACTGGAAAGGAGAGGTCATACTCCTTCTGACAGTTTGGACATGCTGAATCACAGCTTCATGCAGCAGAGAAGGAGTTCCCTGACAGGTAGTTAATCTACAGACCAGATGACATTTTCCTGCTTTAAATGGGCCAGGGCAGTGAGGCAAATCCTGCTTCCAGGAGTTGTATTACTGCGAAAATTTGAGGAGCAGCAGAGAAGCAGAAATATTGCCTTGCTGTACTCAGCTTAGAAGTAAGATTCAGCCATCATCACCAAACAAGGAAGCTGCATCAGACACCTCCAAAGAGCAATTGGTGGGTGACCAGCTCTGCCCTCTAGTTTCTACAAAGGGACTAGAATGACACCTGGGGCTGCAGACTCTGTAGGCAGCAAGGGCAATCCTCACCAGAGTCCAGCTCTTCTAAACCTCACTGTGCTCCTCAGCAAATGTTAGCCAGCTCTGCTCTAGACCAGCCTCCCTGCAGACCATGAGGGATTGAAATGTTCTCCACCTCCTCTGTGAAGCTGAGCTGTGAGAGCCCTGCTGTGCCATCCCTCCCCCATCTCCTGCCTTGTCCTCCTGCCTTTCAGCTGCCCATGAGGCAGCAAAGGAAGCCTGCTCAGTCTCCAACCTATGCTGGTCATCTGGGAGGGGAAAGGCAGCATGCTGTCCACAGGCTGAGCCTCTTCCACATACCCAAGCATTCCATGCAGCTGCCACACTCCAGCTGGGCAAACCTCAAGAAGCCCAAAATGTAAATGCACCAGAGAAGCCACCAAATTCATTGCTTCAGCATTTACAGCCATTGTGGATTAAAGCTGTAGGACAATCCTGACTGTCCTGATACTGATGACAAAACGCCTGTCACACTGAATAGCAAAAGTTCAGAGCCCAGTGCAGAAATCCTGCACAGAAAGGTGTCCCCATGCTGGGAGCTCTCCTGCCAAACACGAGCATCTCTGTTCCCAACAGCTCCAAGAGGTATTTGAAGTTCTGAGCACCTGCAGAACTGGGGTCAGGATGTGCCTTCATGTTGCAATTGGAGGATATAAAATCAATTGCAACATTCTGTTTTAAGGATTTAATTTTCATGTCTTTGCTCCCTTCTTTAATCTCTACACAGCATGTACTCTGCCTGCCTCTAGATATTTTAATTCAGTCACAGTAAGTCAGTTGCACAGAATGGGCACTAGGGAGCAACAGCAATTCAATTAATTTCACACTCACTGCGGGGAGCTGGGATTTTAAATGCTGCACATTGCAGGTGATCTGTAACATTTCGTTTTTTCGTATACTTGCAAAGCTCTTTGTTTCTTTCTTATCAAACTTGGAGGTCATGAAAACCAGAGGTCAGAAAGCTCCTGGCCATTTCATTTTAGAAATAAATATGGTGCCTGCTAATGCAAATAAAGTTACAATCAAGCTCACACTGACACATCCTGATTGAAAATGAAATCAGATCAAATTGATTTGTATTAATAATAGAAAGGCTTTTTAATGAACCTGGTATGGGCACCACCTGTCTCATGCTGGACCCCCAGCAGCATCCTGGAGATCCACAAACTGGAATTAAATGTGAGCTGCCAGCAATCATAAGATTTCTCTGTCTTGGAACAAAGTGACTAGTCAGAATTAAACAAGTACAGTAGTTATTTGTCTGAGGCTAATCACATTGCTCTGGAAGTGAGAAAGTGGGGTCTAATTCATCTAAGAGTTTGCTGTGCGGAAAAATAGTGAGAGGTTTGGCAGAATTGGAAACTTCTCCAGGAGTTTCCCAGCTCTTGTGAACATTGGGAGCAAGCTGCCCTCCTCAAAAGTTGGCTCAGCAGGGTACAGATCCATTCTTCCTGTTTGTTATATTTGGAATTAGGGACCCGAAACAAAGCCAACCCTTGTTGAGTTAAACTGCCATTGAAGCCTACCGACCTACATTGAGAGCCTGTGATCCCTCTGATCAAAAAGCTGCAGGATTTTAGTTAAAAGGGAGAAAAACTGTCTTGTGTGACAGAGCTGCCCCATCATACATTGAAAATAAGAAATAAGTGCAAGAGTGTGTTCGCACATTTGCAAGCAAACCAGAGCCACCACCCAGCATCGTGTGCGCAGGAAATAAGACCGGCCTGAAATTCTTTAATGTGCTCTTCACAAGAACTCCCAAACCCCCTTTCCAGCTGATTTTACCTCCAAGGTGTCTGCCACTGGTCCCACTCGCAGGCTAATCTTTTTGCCATCTGAGGAATAATCAAATGCCTCCTGGCTGTTCACTCCAAGATACGGCTCTTCTGCACAGGCAAAGATTTTGCCATTGTCTGGCAATTCCTCTGCAATAGCAAGGATACTGTAACCTTTAAGCTTGCCAATTATTAAAATCTTCCTGGCTCTGATCATATGGACAAACATCCTAAAAATTTGGCCTGTGGAAAGACAAGAATGAAAATTTGAAAATAAAACCATGAGAAAGACTATACTTTGTTCACAATGAAAATTAAATGAGCCTTTTAAGTGATCATTAAAAAAAACCCTAATCTTAAAACACTCTCAAATAAGGGTTTAACCACAGAGTCTGACAAAATTTCATCTAAAAATGCAGCTAAAAGACAACAGAATAAAAGGACTGATTTTAAATGTAGAACCTTTATCATCAATGCTGCTATTGTTCAAGTGCTTGTTAAATAGTGCTTGAAATATTGCATATTTTAACATTCCCCCCATATGAAAATGGCTTTGAGATGGCTCCATATTCTTTCTGGAATCCAGCATAAAAAAAAAATCACTACATTACCTTGCATTTGCTCTTAGAGTCATTATCCCTAGACAGCACCATCATTTAAGAAATTTATCATCAGTGGTGTCCTTCGAACAATGTATTAGTGTAATAGATTATAAGAGTACTTCACTGGGATGATATATTACTCCAAAGATGAGAACATCTGGGAAGAATGAATCTGGGAATAGATTTAGTGTAATAGGCTTTATAAGAGGATACAAGCCTGGGGATTTCTACTTGTAAAGGTGCAGTGCTTGGCCACAGCCACCTCCACCACAAAAAGCATATTAACCCCTATCAGACATCCCAAACCCAAACCAGAAGCATTTTTCCATCCCTTTCCCTTCCAGGAAGGATGATGATCTCTTTGCTGTTGACTGAGGGTTGGAGCTGGCACTGGGAATTAAAGCACTCTTGTGTGGGCACATGTGAGAGAATACAAGGCCATGGAGGGCAGGGTACAGGAAAACTCGTGCCAGAGTTTTCCAAGCCCACAGAAAGCTCAGGTATTTCTTTATAAGTAATTTCCTACATTTTCTGAGCATTGCCATGGCATTCATCCTTCCCTTACTCGAGACAAAGTAGAGGATGATAGCTTCTCTTCAACTCCAGTGACAGCTTTACACCAATCTGCTGCATTTTACCCCCTTAGCTGAACAACTTGCCATTCAAAGAGCCAGAGGTATGTGTTTCCTGCAGCCTGACACTGCTTTCAACTCCTTCAGCATCCCCTGGGATGTGCTCAGGCGAAGTTTTTCTGGAAAAAAAAAAAAAAAAGACATTTCAGTATTATGATAACAACCAAAATCTGAGCATCCAGCATAAAGAGCAACAACCAAGAGGGAACTCCTGGAAAAGCTCCATCTGTGCATGACCGTAAAAAATTAGTCCAGAAGCATCACAAGTATCCTAAATTCCAGTCCAAGAGAACCTAGTTTGGCAATAAGCACATCTCAGTGCTGGCAGCCACCCCAGTCATAGGGGCTTGGGAAGGAGGGAACATGGGACTAAAGGAAAGAATTTCCCCACTGTTCAACCCCAAACCTTTCCCATTTTCAGCTGGTCCCAGACAGATCTCTCTCTATCTGCTGCTTTGGAGTGAATTACTCCAGTTATCCTGGCCAGGTTTTGTTCAGTTCTACAATTAGTTTTATTCCAGCCAAAAATAAGGTTTCTTTGCAGAATAGAGGGAAAGATATAAAATCTAAATTTTTCTTACAAGGCAGGAAAAAGAAATGTTTTTTCTCACAAAGTGCTCAGAAAAGCAGGGTGCCTGCAGATGCTATTTCACAGGAGTCAGGCCTGTGACAATGTCTCTGGATGAAGTGAGATGCTACCTATTACATGGGGAAGGCAATAGAGGACTGGAAGAAGTCCATAGCCTCCAGACAGGTTAGATTACCCTGTGTGAACAAAGTAACCACCAGAAATGGATGGTGATCATTCTCTGGGCCAGAGTTTAGAGCCATTTCAGTGGGTTTATTCCTCCAGCTCCCCCCCTTCACTCCTCAGTAAAATGAGAAAGAATTCATAACCCGTGTCAGCCACAGTCAGATAATCCAAGACCTAAAGAGTAGAACATTTTATATAACCTCTTTTCTGCCCCTCACAAATGCTTTAACAACTTTAATAAGATAATGTATAGCTATTATCCTACAGCAAGTGTAAGTCAAACAACTATCAGCTATTATTTCAGCAACAGAGAGAACGCTCAGCGTTCCCATAATCCACAGCCTGGAACAGTTTACACATTGTCAATTTTAGACAGAACTGGCTTTTTCCACATATCAAAATGTACACTGATAAATGGGAATTGTTTAGCAGACCCCACATGGCTGGGTAATATACTGTAGCTCAAAAAAGAATAATGAGGGTATCAGTTGGACTTCTGAATTAATGATACCTTAAATTAGTTTAATTAATTAGTTTAGTTACCAGAGTAATTTAGTTAGCAGATTAATTAATGTTTGTTGAGTGCTTGGAGATAAAAGCCACATATAAAGGCTGTTATTAGAGGGTGGATCCAGAGGTGCAGGTTTTCTTCACTCCTAATTTATCCCAGCTGGATCCAGGGGCTCACTTTTCAAGCCTTCCAGCAAGCACAGTGTGGAGGTTGGTGTTCCCCAGGAAATGCTCCAACTCAGACACTGCCACAGTCAACAATCACTTGGGAGAATATCTCCAAAATTTTACACTTAAAGCTTTTTGTTCTCACCTCCTTTCCTGCAGGCTGTGGGCTCACACACATACATCCATGCACACTTTGCTACATGTTTGAGTGCACTAAGCCTCATTCCACTTCCTGCTGCTGTCCCCCACGTTCCTGGCATGTTCTGGACAGAAAATCTAACAAGATATTCATCCCATCACAGACAAAAGCACCAGGTTACAAAGGACAATCTGTACCTCTTGGAAGCTGCCATTGCATCCAGGTAAGGGTCTAGTCCAAGAGCAACATCAAGAGCTTTCTGTAAGTAATTCCTGAGCTGTTCAGGTACATGAGGGTCATTGAGGGCTATTTCTTTGGCTTTGTGAAGGTTCTCAGCAATGAGCCCAGCCGGAGTTTCTGAAATGGAAATTAAAAGGAAGAATAATGATTTTGTAACTGCTCAATCAGTGGAAGTGGAGTTTAAAGAACATAAAGACAGGTGTGCTTTTTTTTTTAATACAAAACACAGGGTTTTGAAGGGCTATGAAAACAATCATGAAAACCTTTTTTAATATATACTTCTAATAGATTTTTGCTGCATGCATTCTCCCTTTTTCCCCTCAGAGCTGATCAAGAATAAGAATGTTTTAAACACATTAATTTTGCTTTTAAAGCTCCAAGACAAACATCACACAACAAAGAACTGCATACAAACACTGCTCTTCCAGGTCCAATTTTCCTTGGAGGAAACAGAATGCTTCCAAAACTGCTCTTGCCAGGAGATGCAGGCAGTGGGTGAAGCTTTGTAAAAATGGGGATTTGTGTGTCTATGGGATGCACAAGGTTCCCCAAGCTGTGTCTGGGCCAGGGAGGCTGCTGTGCACCACACAATATGACAGCATTTCAAATGCTGTGGAAACATCTGCCAGATCCAGATCACCTTGCTCTGAGAGCCAAATCAATGCTGCCCATGGCACTGAACCAGCCCTGAGATCCCAGAAAACCTTTCTGGCAGCAATCCACCATGGATCACAGCAAGCTGTGGCCCCAGAGGGTGAGGCAAGATTCAGAGGAACTCCCCCACTCCTCAAGTGTGAGAGCACGTGCTGAGTTATGAAAGCACCTGTGAGACACAGGCCAAGAGGCTGGGGTGGAGCAGATTGCCCCTGGCAGGGTTTTATTGCCTGTGATAGAAAAGCTGCAGAGAACTACATGGAGTGAGTGAAAAAAGACATCTCTTTTACTTCTGTGGCTTTCCAGTGCCTGAAGGGAGCCTACAAGGATGAAAAGAGACCATTTACAGGGCATGTGGGGACAGGACAAGGGGGAATGGCTTCAGACAGAAAGAGGGTAGGTTTAGATTAGCTATTAGGAAGAAATTCTATTCTGAGAGGATGATGAGACCCTGGCACAGGGTGGCCAGAGAAGCTGTGGCTGCCCCTGGATCCCTGGAAGTGTCCAAGGCCAAGCTGGGCAGGGCTGGGAGCAACCTGGGATAGGGGGAGGTGTCCCTGCCCATGGCAGGGGGATGGAATGTGATGGGCTTTAACATCTTGTCAAACCAGCCCATTCAGTGACTCTGTGATACAATGCCATGATTTATATCTCATCCCAATCTCTAACCATCAGGGGAAGCTTTTATCTCCTCCAGCAGTTTTATAACTAATTGTAGCTGCAGGAATAGCCACCCCTTTCCCAAACCATGCTGGTTTGCTGGCCTCAGCCCAGCTACATTTCCAGTGAAGAGGACACATACTCCTCTTGCAGGAGTTTCACCATTACATGAGGGAGCAACCCCAGGCTCCCACTGCTCAGATGGAGAGTGCTGGAGGTTGGGATCTGCTCATCCTCCCTGCCAAGCACTCTGAGGCTTTCTGCTAATTTAGGGGTAAAAACATGTTTATAATCCATGTCAGCTTTTAGTAATCTTCATGTTCTGCTTCTGGATAAGTAACAGACAGGGATTGCCTGTCACACAAAGGGGAGGAAACAAGACTTACCCTCAGCTGTTTTGTAAGCTGTGTTACAACACCAAACGTGAGAGCCAAGAGGTGCTGCAGGGAGAGGGCACAGGCAGGGCATGCCAGGAGCAACCCCCCATCCAAGCTTACACAACCTTTGCAGGGAGTGCTGCATTTTTTGCAGCTTGGTGATGCTTTGGGCCAACAGCAGAGGTCAGAATTGCCCTCATTTATGCAAGCACCAGACAAGTCAGAGCAGAGCTCCGGGCGGGCTGCCCAGCCCAAGGCTCTGAGCACTAAGGTGAGCTAAACTTTATGTAACTACTTTTTTTTTTAAGGTAATTCCAGGAAAAAGTGCTTCATTTCAATGCATAGTTTTGCACAATCCCAGAAAAACTGCTGGAGTATATTAAGCACTAAATTAGATTTCCTGATTGTGTGCCTATGGATCTATGTATGCACAGAGATCTTTTTCCATTTCCCATCTAATTGTGCATTATCATCAATGGGAGAAAAGAAAAACAGCTCACTCAGAGGAAGAAAATGCTGAAAACAGCCCTACCATGAAAGAGCAGGAAAGGGCTGCTTTAGGTCTCCAGCAGCTTCATAAAGGAAGATAAGGTGGCAATTCTTAGAATGGACCATTCTTGCCAGCAGAATGGTTCCCAGCATCTTCCTGAGCAGGTGCTGAGAGCACAGCCACCCTATTTTACAGCTAAGCTGAACAATAAATTGCAGCTTCTACTCTGCCTGAAATCAGGAAATTTGATTCACACCAAAGTCAGGAGTTAGGATTGCAAGGTTGTACGTGTGGGACATCAGTGTCCCCTGGGCAGACAGGTAGTGCAGTGCCATGGAGGGACCTGCTGCTCCAGAATCTCAATTAAACTCTGCCGTTTGTGCTCAGATGTCACATTTTAGGTGGAGAAAAGAGCAGAACACTTTACTGTTTGCAGGGGCCACCCCAAAGGATGCACAGAGATAAAAGACAGTCTGGATTTGGCAAAAACAAAGCAAAGACATGAGACCAAACCTATCGTTCCCATTTTAGAGTTATCCTTATTTTACCTTCCAGGCTCTAGATCTGTTCTGCAGCCCCAGAAAAGCCTTCCAAAAGAGCCCTCTTCTCAGCCAGGGCAGAGCACTGAACCTGATCCACCTGAACACTTTGCTGCCAGACTGTTTGGTGCTGCTGTGCCAAGCACTTTGGCAGGAGCTGCTCAGTGCTAAGCACCTGGAAATCCAGTCTGCTAAAACCATCCCCAACAGCTCCAGCCATCATATTCACTAGGGCACCTCAGGCATTGACAACAGCTTATCCCAACCCTCACCTCTTTGCCTTAGTGTGTAAACACATGTCCCAGCACAGGGCTTGTCATGGTCTGTGTGGGGACAGGGGTGGGTGGGCAGTGTGGCCAAAACCAGAGTGGCCATCAGACATTGCAGGGGGCATGTCCCAGCAGAGCTCAGCCTGCTCAGCCTTAGCCTCAGCATCCACAGTGCCAGAGCCTGCAGCGAGCCAGCAGTGATGGCCTGGGGACAGGTAGGAGCTTAGGGATGGAGTGGGTGCATGCGGAAGCAGCCAGAGAGAGGATGCTGCTACTCATGGCAGGAACCAGGGATCTAAACCCTGACTGAACTTCAAGGGAAAGCAAGGAAAATACACACTAGCTGATGCATTTTCTACAGGCTCTACTGCTGGAAAATAAGTTGAAAAGCTGAATCTCCCCAGTGCTCCATTAGGGAGATAAATTATTTCTGAAAAAAGCATGACAATCCATCAGAAATTAGTCACAGCCAAAGCTCTCTTGACATTGCAAGCATCCACCACCCCACCATTCCTTTCTCCTGGGATTGTCCCACTCCCTCCGCTCCAGGCTCCTACAAATCCATCTCTTGTGCTGAGCCTCTCTCCTCTCCCTGACAAACCTACCCTCTGCTCCTTGCTGCCAAGCCACAGAGCCTGCAGGCACCCTCTCCATGGGGAAGGTGGGCACCCAGGACTAGGGCATCACACGGTGTCCCCTCCTGTCACACCGCTCTCCTGGAGTCCCCACCCCACACAGGGAGTTTACCTGAAGGGCTGTGCATGTTCCTTCTTGTCCCCTGGCCTCAGAGGATGCTGTGGTGGGTTTGCTGCCTCTGCAGAGCAGGAGGTCGATGCTTGGGTGCCTGGTGAGGGGACAAAGTCTCCTCCCTCAATCACCAGGGCAGAGCCCCAGCCCTGGGGAGAGGCTGTGTGGGGAGGATGGCTCCAGGCTGGGGCTGCACCCTCCTGTCCCACCCAGAGCACAGGCAGCAGGTGAGATCCAACAGCCTCTGACATGAGAAAGGCACAACAAAGGAGCCGACTTTCAGTGCCTTTGCTTTACGTAAGAGTAAGTTCACATCCTGACCTTGGGAAGCTGCTGGCTCTCAAGAAAGTAATTGGCAGTTTCATAACCTTCTAGTTACATATCACAGACATGTCCCAGCTAAACCACCAGGTATGGGGCCAAAAATGTCCCAGAACTCTGAACCCCCTTCAGATTATCTACAAGGAGTCCTTAGCCACAAGGTCACCGCTGCCCTGTACAGCCACACACTGGAGTAACCAATGTAAATTTGTCAACTTCTCAAATGCAACAGAAGATATTTCAGTGTCCCCAGAATAGAATAGGGAAGTATAAATAGAAAATAAGTAAATGCATATGATGAAAGAGTAAAAGAAAAGCAAATAAAAGAAGACTCAATGCTGACTGTGTTGTTATTAGTTAAAACAAATAAACAAGATGAAAAAGACAGACCTCCTGGCATACCTAAGATTGTTCTATTTTATGATTTAGTAAACAACAAACTGCATTAGAATTGCAGTTCCTGCAGAAAGCAATAAAAATTGTATTTAGATTGGGAGTTAAAATTTCAGACGAGTATTTGGTAAACAGGCTACGAGCTTTAGTGTGCCATCTAAATGGCACTAGCTTTGAGGTGACTTTGGGAAAGTTGTTTCACTTCTGAGATTCTATTTTCTTCTTCTACAAAATGGGGTTAACAGCCTGTCCTCTTTAAAAAGCACTTTGCCATGTGGAAATGAAGCCAGCAGTGAGGACTGGAGTCAGGAGTCAGGCACTTGGAGCAGGGCTACATGGCTTTGGAAGTTTTTCTTGCAACTTTTCCTCGATATTAGTTTTGAGATAGATGAAGATTCCAAAGTGAGTTTGGCTGCAATTAAGCCTTCAAAGTAATGACACAGTGTTGTCCAATGGGTTCTTTAAGACTCATTTTTTCCTGCCTCTGCTTTTACATCTGATTTTGGTTTTCTTGATCTTTGTTTCTGAACAAGGACAGCTTTCAGAAACACGGCTGAGAAGGTGGCAAAGACAGGTTTGTGCCTTCAGGCACTGCTGGTGAAATCAAAGGAAGATCTTCCTGTGCTCAGCACACAGAGCTGTATGCCAAGGGAATACTTTGTGTGGCAACCTGAGCCTGGGGCCCTCCAAAAGCCCCAGCTGGAAGATCACATGGAAAAGTGAATTGTGCATCTCCCAGTCACGTGGGGATCAAAACCCAGCTCATGCCCCAAACAGCCCTTCAGGAGATAAATGCTCTCTGATAATTTTTTTTAACCCACCATAAAAGCAAAAATATCTATTATATATATAGTTTTTTTCCTTAATTCAAGAAAATCCCAGGAAATGTGAACTCAAAAGAGGTTTTAACCAGCTGGTATTGATCCCCACGCTTCTGCTCCTGTCTCATCCCATAAGAGCAGCATAGAGCTGCAGCCAGATCAGAGGCTCTGCTCAGCAAAGGAGGTTCCTGAATGATGTGAAGAATCACACAAACTGCCTTTCATAACTTTAAATTTGCTGTAGGGCATCATGTTGGAAGTTAATATATGCACTTCTATTGTACATCTTAAGCATTATAAAACCAGCTGATTACACAACCCCATCCTGGTAGTCGCACGTGTCTTCAAACATCCCTGCCACCCCTCACATGCATCCCAGATTAGGTAATCTCAGTTTTGTAATTAGTCTCTCACATGGAGACGAGACCTCCCCTCCTGATACCTGGTCAACCTGGAGCCTTTAAAAAGCACCTCAAAGGCACCCAGTGATGGGAGATCTCTGGGTAGGGAGATTTCACCTTCTGGAAGCATGCTGGTGACAGAGGAGGTGTGTGCTGCAGCAGTCCCAGGAGCCACCATGGCCCAGGAGCCCCAGCAGACAGATTTCCAGCTGGTAAGAGTCAAGAGCACGTGGAGCCGCATCAAGAAAGGAGAAACCCTCTCCAACAACAGTGAGGACGAGGTCACTCTCTCTGAGGCGACAATGTGAGTATAGGAAGGGGCCTGTGTTATTCTGGCCAGCCAAACTGGGCAGTCTTCTTGGTGGGATGGAAAAATCGTCTTGGGTGCCATGGCGGCTTCAACCCGCAATGACAGAATGACAGAATTACAGAATAGTTCAGGCTGCAAGGGATCTTTGAAGGTCACCAAATCCAAACCCCTGAGATGGGCAGGGACACCTTCCACTGGACCAGGGTGTTCCAACCCCCATCCAAACTGACCTATGCATACAAACCTGGAAACATGTCTTGGGAACATGGGCAGTATGGCAGCACGGGCGGTTGCAGTGCTCTTTGACATAGCTCAGAGTTACAGAGGGAATTTTATCAACAGCCTCCATTTTTGTAGACAGGAATTTTCTTTAAACTTCTGAGAAGCTTACGCAGGGACATCTGTGTGCTGCACTTGGGCTCATTTTCTCCATTTCTGTGAAAATTCAATCTGTGTGTGCGCAAAATCTCACGCCGAAGCATGGGAGACAGATGGGTTTATAGAGGTGGTTGCAGACAAATGAAATGGGTAGGTGGGAAAAATAAACTGTCACTGACAGGAGCAAAACCCTTAACACATCCCTCAAACTGCAGAAGTCACCTAATGCTGTTTCAGATAGAGCAAAGACAAAACTTTCCCCCAGGGATACACACAGCTCTTTGCTGATAGCATGTCTCCCCAGTTAATTATCTTTTAATTACAGCATACTCCTCACAAGCACATGGAGCTCCATTCATGATGCAGATCTTTTTTAATACAGTTCTTTTCTGCATGTCAGAAGTTTTCCAGCCCTTGTCATTCTCAGATTCTAATGGCACAAGTCTAACCCTTTTCTCAGCCAGGCCAGAGGGACCTCCACCAGCACCTGCAGTGACCGCACACGAGCATCGCCCAGGCAGAGCTGCAGCAGGTAGAGCAGGATTTTGGCAGACCCAAAACCAGCCTAATGGACCTCAGTCGATAGAAGGATGAACCTAAGGCCCAAGAACATGCAGAAAAATCCTCAGCTGATATATGATCCCACAAGGGCATGTTCGGCCCCAAATTCCCTATGATTTTCATAGAGCAGAGGGGTTGCAATGGGTACTGGTTGTACCATCCAGTACCCAAAGCTGATTCCACTAAATAATATTCCAAACCATCCTATCTCTTAGAAGGGTCACACACCAGAGATGAATGCACATGGAGTTAAGTACAGCTATAAGATGGTGCATTGAAATGTACACAATGTTTTTTCTGATACCATATTTGAGAAGCCCAGAAGAAATTTTCTGGAAGATGAAAATCCTCACTGGTTTTGTTTAACAGCTTTGGAGTTTAAGGGCTTAGAGACTTTAAGAGTTTAAAACTTAGAGATAATTTGGTAAAGAAAGCAGAGAAGCATCTATTTTGACCTCTAAGTGAATGTTCAGGCATGTGAAAAGTAATTGGGCATGTAGGGAAATCTGATTATCCAATGAATATCACAGAAACTCATTTTTTACCAAAATGCAGCTCAAATAACAGTCTTATATAAAATACATCTGCCTTTTTTTTCTGATTCCCAACTTGTTTTTTCCCTGGTTTGCCCATCCCACAGAAGGAAGGGGTTGTAGGGCTGTGTTTTTCATTAGTTTAGATAGATAACTAATTTTGGCTTTTATTTACCCTTGAAAACTCCAATGTGGAATTGTTTCCCAACCCCCAGATCATTTTCTTTCCCTCTCTAGGAGCACTTCCTATTTCTATCACACCTATTTTGAGGTAGAGATCTGCTAGTTCAACTAAGGCATTGTAGAAACACTGGTCTGAATGGAGATGTGATGTGCGGCTGTGTATAGATAGGAATAAATTAACTCCTACCATCTAGATACACCATCAGAGGATGCTTCTTCAATGAATGTGGAAAATTTTGGCAACCTCTTCTCTTCCCCACTCCCTTTCTGAAAGCTGAAATGATTGGGCTGGCTCATTCTTTATGGGTTTTCAACTTCTAGCATGAAAAACATGCCCCAGCCCTTCTGGACTGTATCTTTTTAATGTTATGTACGAATTCAAGCATTTAACTCTTCACTTAGACCTCAGAGAGCTTCTCCAGGAATAAAATTGGTGAGCCCTGACACCCATGGGGGTGTCCCACCCTCACAGCCCCATGTTTCTGCAGTGCATGGGCAAGAGACTCTACATTCTTTATCTCCCAGCAATATCCTATAATTAGCTCAGACATGCAAAGATCAAGCTAGGAATATGTAGTGATTTCAAACCATGTTTTCTGATCCTTGCCAGAGGCGAGTGCATCTCCGAAGGTGGGATTTCCTGGATCATTGAAGCTCCCATCTATTTTTGCTACAAAGTGGTAGAAACATACAACATCCTGGAGCCCTCTAATACCACTCTGCTCTGGGGCCACATCACTGACCCCCAGCAAACAGAGCCGGCCACGGCCAGCAAGAGGAAACTGCGGCGCTTCATCGTCATAGACGAAGTCGTCGACAAACTTTACGGCTCCAAAGTCAGAAAATACTTTGAAGAGAACAACGTCCAGCACAAAATCCTCGCCCTGCCCACCACCGAGGAAACAAAATCCATGGACTTGGTGTTGAACATCTTGCACGAGGTCCAGAGCTTCAGCCTGGACCGGCGCACGGAGCCCATCATCGCCATCGGCGGGGGCGTGTGCCTGGACATCGTGGGGCTTGCCGCGTCGCTCTACAGGAGACGCACCCCCTACATTCGGGTCCCCACCACCCTCCTCTCCTACGTGGATGCCAGCGTGGGGGCCAAGAACGGG